TATGTAATATCGTAAAAACTCCAATTCGTAGCCGCCGCTCGTCAGAAAAACAGGAGAAAAAAGAAAACAACGAAACGACGATAACTCTCTCTCTCTCTGTGTGTGTGTGTGTGTGTGTGTGTGTGTGTGTGAGCCCTACGTCATCGTTGCTTTCCTTTCTCTCCTTCTCTCTCGCCCTCCTCGCCCCACCATCTCTCTCTCTCTCTCTCTCTCTCTCTCTCTCTCTCTCTCTCTCTGTGTGTGTGTGTGTGTGTGAGCCCTACGTCATCGTTGTTCTTTCCTTTCTCTCCTTCTCTCTCGCCCTCCTCGCACTCCTCGCCCCACCATCTCTGTATCTAGACAGGAAGTCGGCCAAAATACATTTCGGTGCAAGCTCTGTATCTAGACAAGAAGTCAGCAAAAATACATTTGGTATATTCCATTCGTCTTTGTCACTCGTCTACATGTGACGCGTGCAAGCTCATCCTTGTCCGTCTCCTCCTTCCACCCCCTACCGTCTTCCCCCGAATAGAACGTACAGTCATTATCGCTGTATCTAGACTGAAAATTAACCCTCTGGAGTGGAAGGTACCCCAAATATTGCCTCGATGCATCGTCGGTCATTCTATTCGGCGGAAGACGCTACTCTTCGCACCCTCCTCTCCCCTTCTGCATCGTCCGCAAGGCTGCACCGATCGGGACGGTCGTGAGCGTCGGGATGGATGCAGTCGAGACCGCGGCGAACACGACCTGATTCGCTACTACTTAGTTTGCGCAAGTGCTAGCGGAGGGGACTTCAGTCGGGACCGCGACGAGACGTACCTGATTCGCCTAGCGGAGGGAGACTTCAGTCGGGACCGCGACGACACACCTGATTCGCCTAGCGGAGGGAGACTTCAGTCGGGACCGCGACGACACACACCTGATTCGCCTAGCGGAGGGAGACTTCAGTCGGGACCGCGACGACACACACCTGATTCGCCGACATACTGTATGTATGAGACGTGTACGGGGGAGCGGCACCGCAGTCGGGATCGCGACGAAACACACCAAATTTCGATGGGCACGCAAAACTACCAATAGTCGGAGAGCGAACGAAAGAAACGGAAATTTTATTTTTTCCCTAAAAAAAAGGAAAGAAAAAATAGGGTTAGGACAATGGAGGATGTCCACAGAGAGAGAGAGAGAGCGTCATATATGATAAATAAAATAGAAAAACCAGTCTCTCTCCTCATTCTCCACATGTAATACTAGCGTCTTCCCGCGAACACAACACACCGCTCATCACGCCTGTATCGACACGGAAAAATCGTCCGTGTTCATTTGTGATCAGGAGGATGCATTGCGTTCAGCGGACGACGGTCCTCAGGAGCGGAAAAGAGATCCCAACCCTAATCACTACTGCTACTTTGCCTTTCTCCTCATATAGGATAGACAGGCACCTTATCAGTACCACGGACCAGATAAACATGCATGAAGAATACAGCATTATGACAGCCTCTCCCCATCGAAAATACTCAATTACATCAAAAAAAGCACGCTGCATCTTGTACCCATAAATAAATAAACGCGTGTATGAATAGTCCAGTAATATGTACCCGATACACGTGTCTGAATAGTACGGTATTATGTACCAGATACATGTGTCCTAATACTAGTGTTATGTGCCAGAGAGTACTTTGCATAGGACGTATGGTTGTCGGATGCTCAACGCCGAACTATGTATAGGACGTTATGTACCAGAGAGTACTATGTATAGGACGTATGAATAGTCCAGTAATACAGTATGCACCAGATACATGTGTCCGAATACTACATGTGTCCGAATACTACATGTGTCCGAATACTACAATAGTATTACGGCATGTGTACTTATTTAACGAAGTGAAAAAAGTAGGAACGGGACTGCTGCCAAAAAAAAAAAAAAAAGAAACGGGACTGCTGCCGCCCAAAATAAAACGGAGGAAGGGCCATGAGGTCCTGCGTTGAATTTATATTATACAAACGAAAGAACGAAAAGAAATAAGAAATAAGAAAAAAAATGCTGTGAAAAGCTCATCAAACGGATTTGCATCAAATACCGCATCAAGACAATGGACGCGGGAGACAGCCCAGGGATTGCAGGTGTACATCGAAATTAGGTACAGTGAAGGGGAGGGCAAGCTAGGGTAGAGCAGGATTAAATTACATAGATTGTGGAAGACGGAGGGGGGAGGGAAGGAGGGAGGAATAGGTAAACGAACAGATTTGATAGGAGGGCGGAGGGAGGGATTTGCAAGGAGGGAGGGAGGTAGAGGGAGGAGCAAGGAGAGAGGGAAGAATAAAGGACGAGGGAGGGAGGGAGCGACAGGTAAAGAGGTAGAGGGAGAACGGCGGCGGCGGCACGAAGGAGGGACTTAGAGAGGTATAGAGGGAGGGAGAGGGAGGGAGAGGAAGGGAGAGAGGGACAGGTGCAGAGGTAGCAAGGAGGACGGAGGCGGCGACACGAAGGAGGGACAAGAAGAGAGGAAGAGGGAGGGAGAGAGGGACAGGTGCAGAGGTAAAAGGAGGGAAGACTGAGAGAAGGCACGAAGGAGGCACGACGATCGAGGAAGAGGGAGGGAGAGGAAAAGAGAAGAAAAGAGGGAGGAAGGGAGGGCTGTAAACAGATTTTATAGGAAGATTCAAAACACAGGTCTAATGCATAAAAATGACCAGATTCGAAACGTAGATAGTACAGAATGATAGATAGATACAGCTACCCGTTCTCGCCCGAATGGAACGCCCGGTCATTATCGCTGTATCTGGACTGAATATTAACCCAAATACAGATATAATGACCAGGCGTTCTATTTGGGTGAACAGGATAACCCTTCCTCATAGGCATATGAGGTACACTATAGGCTGGAGTCGGTGCAACTCAGCGGAGACAGACCAACAAACAGACAAAGACGGACAAAGACAAAGGCAAATATGGACCACGCGCCAAACGAACGAACCACAAACATAGACAACTGGATATGTTAGATTGACTAGTAGAATTGAGGACAAAAAAATAGACTTAAATAGGTATAAACAGCAAACAGAAATTTGGACAGATAAGATTGATTGATGAATCGAGTGAACAAAAACAACATAAATAGGTATACAGCAGATAGAAATTTGGACAGATTAGATTGATCGATTAATAGAGTTGAGGACAAAAAGAACGACTTCAATAGGTATACAGCAAGTACAAATCTGGACAGATTACATTGCTTGATTAATAGAATAAGGACAAATAGAACGACTTAAATAGGTATACAGCAAGTAGAAATCTGGACAGATTAGATTGCTGGATTAATAAAATGAGAACAAATAGAACGACTTAATAGATATACAGCAAGTAGCAATCTGGACAGATTAGATTGATTGATTAATAGAATGAGGACAAAAAGAACGACCTACAAAAGATACCACAACTGAAGATTCCGTGGCACACACTGGGCATCGCTCCACGACTCTCGACATGCACAACAGACAAATCATGGCCTTGTATCTTTCCATATTCTAGCGGAAGATTCACTCTCGTTTTGCGCATTCCGAGAGTAGGGGAGCGAGGCCCAATGTTTGCGTAGTCTCATATATATATTAATATATATTAATCGAAATCAACAGCCAAATTCTAATCCGAATCCATCCAAATATCCACGTTTTTCGTTCTTTTGCCGCGTGCCAAAAAAAAAAAAAAAAACGAGGTTGCACGTATTATTATACAGTAATAGACACGCGGAGCCGTGCGGGCGTGTACAACCCAAACCTCTTAAATTCGAGCACAATCGTACACGCGCAACCATACGCGCACACTCGTACACGCGCAACCATACGCGCACGATCGTACACGCGCAACCATACGCGCACGATCGTACACGCGCAACCATACGCGCACACTCGTACACGCGCACCCATACGCGCACGATCGTACACGCGCAACCACACACTCACATACACGCGCAACCACGTGCACGATACAAGAGCAACCGCACGTACACTCATGTACACGCGCAACCTCGCGCAAACACGGGCACGCTCACACGCGCAAACACGCGCAGACTCGTACGCGCGCAACCACCCGCACACTCAACACGAGAAGTCTCGTACACGAGCAACCACGCGCAACCACATGCAGCCTCGTGGGCGGGCAACCACGGGAGCGCACGCACGAGCGCGGAGACAAACACGCGCGCGGGGACGCGCCCGTGATGATCGCCTCTCCGAAGAGCCCGTCCTTTCCAATCAAGAAGAATCAATCTGTACTCGATATCAAGCAGAGTAAGATGCAGAGTGTGGTAAACAAAATGTTTATCCTTTGGAACAACCGTTCACGCTCGAACGACACAAGGAAGATCATCATGGCCCCTGTGCAAGGATGACAACGCATAAATGGAGTTCATATGCTCTCCGGAAGATAAGACAAACTCGTCTGTGTTCACCACGTGGCCAATCGGCTTTCCTTGCACAGGTCACAGATCGTTTAGAGTGTCACTTAACCTCCGCTTAACCTCAACGGCGGGCAAATCAAGACGCAAGAGAGAACGATAGATAGACTATAAGGCTTAGACAGACTATAAGGCTTGAGGAGGGCCGCCAGAGAAGGCTGGAGAGAGAGAGAGCGAGAGCGAGAGAGAGAGAGAGAACAATAGATAGACTATAAGGCTTGAGGAGGGGCGACAGAGAAGGCTGAAGAGAGAGAGAGAGAGAGAGAGAGAGAGTCGAAGGTCGAAGAAAGGAAGGAGGGGGGGAGCTGGGAGTATAATCATATACTCACACCGGGACTTTCCTGGACATATCTGGCCGCAATCAGTTAACACTTCTGGACGTATCTGACCGCCAAGACGTCCAGAGACCGACGGAAGAAGAGCGTTACTCTGGGTGTCCTGCGTCGTACGCAAAGCTCTCGCTTGGGTTCGATTAAATAAGGAAGGAGGCGAGGGCGAGGGCGAGGGCGAGGGATATGGTTGGTGATGGGGATGGCAGCGGCGACTGGGAAGCCTTTCTCTTACCTTGGGCTTGTCGGGCGATGGTCGTGGCTCTCTCTCTCTCTCTCTCTCTCTCTCTCTCGCTCTCTCTCGCTCTGCTCTCGCCGCCGGGTTAGGACTACATCCGCAGCCGTCCTCTATCACAGAGCGTTTGCGCGGGAAGAAGCGCGCTGACTGCTGACTCTCTGCATTTGCGCGGGAGAAAGAGAACCAAAACTTTCGCTCCGCCGCGCTCAATGACAGAGCGCTTGCGCGGGGCGTGGGCGTTTCTCCCTTACACGCACAGATGCTGGGAGGAAAGAAAGACACCTCGGAGGGCCGGCCTGCGCGTGAAAGCAGCGAGGGCTGAAGCTGAAGCTGCAGCTGCAGCTGGAATGTGGGAGAGTGGGAGAGTGGGAGAGTGACTGCGGTACCGGGAGGTCGGTGATGGGCCCCTTCCCACCGCTGGCCCTGGGAAGGGAGTGAAGACTGCTCCTCTGTTTTTTGGGGGGTCGCATTTTTTGGTCCCATTTTTTGGTCCCATTTTTTTGTCCCATTTGCGTTCCATTTGGTTCCAAGGACTACCTCTTCAGAGGAACATCCTGTGAGGCCTTTTTTGGTTCCATTTGGTTCCATTTGGTTCCATTTGGTTCCACATGGAACCAGGCGGACCAATTTCCTCCGGCTGCAGAATCCGGAGGATGATGCTGCCAGGGGATACTGGCTGGTCCCACTTGCCCGAACTTCGCGTTTGTGGCCGTATATTAGGGAAATGGATGGACAGGAGCGAAGAACCCTTCTGAGTGGGAGCTGGACATGGGCCTGAGAATAATGCGAGCCTGGAAATAATAGTAATAGTAATCGCAATAATAATTCGTCTCCTCCCCAGGCAGCGAGTTCGAAAACAACTCAATAATTTGCCCCGCCCTCCGCCAGGCAGAAAATAGCCATTGGTTAGGTTTTTTTCCGTTTTGTATGTCCCAATTTCCCAACAGAAGGGCTTGGTTAGTTCGCTGGCCCCTGTGCAGCTCAGGCCACAGT